TTTTTACAATATGCTATTTTTATTTCTAGTGTAATTTTTGTTTAGGACTGTAGCAGGTGCACAAGTGTTGTTGGTAGTACCCACCATTTTTTATGCTCATGCTTTTGGCATTGGATCTATCATAGTAGCCAAAGTGTATTGTCGTGATAGTAGCAAAAGAGTTATTAAATGTGAATATGTAGTATTAAAAATATCTTTTTAAAGTGGAACTCTATACTTTGTGACATTAGCAATCATTTTCAGGACTCCACAGAATGTTAGCCAAGAGAGATCATTATGAAACCAATCAATGTTAGCTAGATCTGCCTTATTCCATTACCTACTTGAAGAGTTTTAGTAACAGCATTATTTTTTATTTTCAATCTAGAACTAAAAGTTAGATAGTATGAAACCTGGCGCTGGTGGCTCATTCCTGTTATCCTAGCTTCTCAGGAGGCTGAGATCTGAGGATTGCATTTCAAAGCCAGCCTAGAAAGTCCATGAGACTCATTTCCAATTAACCCAGAAAACCAGAAGTGGAGCTGTGGCTCAAAGTATAGCCTTGTGTGAATAAATTCAGGTACAGTGTCCAGATACTGAGTTCAAACCCCACAACTGATACAGAAAAATAGTATGATAACTAATTATTGCTTACCAACTATAAAAATCAGATGGCATTTTGAAGATGACAAATTCTTGAATTATTGAAAAGTTTTTTTTTTAAATTTTTTTTTTGGGTCCAGTCATGGGGCCTGAACTCTGGGCCTGGGCGCTGTCCCTCAGCTCTTCAGTTCAAGGCTAGTGCTCTACCACTTGAGCCACAGCACAACTTCCGGCTTTTTTTCTTTTTGCTTATGTGGTACTGAGCATCGAACCCTGGGCCTCATGCATGCAAGGCAAGCACTCTACCACGGAGCCACCTTCCCAGTCCCTATTGAAAGTTTTTAAGAAAATTTTTTCTCCCTGTAGTTTTCCTGTGGAGTGAAAAATATTTTAAATTAAAAGACTGTTCTGATATGTATAATATTCCTATCCTATATTTTCAAAGGAATAGATATACTTTCAAAGTTCAGGCTATTTAAAACATTGCTTTTTCTTAATAATGACACACCTTTTTTCATGTTGCAGAGATGGTTTAAAGTTGGAAACTGAACTGCTGGATGGAAAAACCAAGATAATATTATCTCCATATGGTATGCTGTGTAACTGGAAATCTAAAATATTGACTTCAAAATTCCTACATAAAATTTATGATATTTAGCAATATTATTTACTTGAAATAAAGTAATATTTAAATACATTGAAAAAGCTGTTTTCCCCACTTCTTCAAATTCATTTTAGCCAAGTAAAGTCAAAAGACATCAGTGCTTTCTGCTGTCAGTATTCAGATGCATAAAATTTAGTATTATGATAGATTTCATGTGTAATGTGTATTGGTTCTCTGTTTGCTTATAACAAGTATTCTTAATACCTAATGAAAATGCAGGTGTTTTAGGTAATTATATTCTTTGCAGCTAAAGAATATTTTGAGAAAATTATAGTGTAACTGTGGTTGCTAATGTTTTTAAATATTAGTTTGAAAACTCAGTGTACTTTGATACTTTTCCAGATTATTTGTCTTGAGTCCTGCCCTCCGTTTATAGTTTTACCTGGGGACAATGGCTAAAATAAACAAAAATGACATAAATACTTGAGCTACATTGTAAAATTTGGAACATACAAGCAAGATTTAAAGTTAATGCTTTTGAGGTTAATGGGATTTTTAATCTTAACATCTTTAATACTAATTAAAAATTTTCTCTTATGTTACTGCCCTAGTATGTTTTTTGGTTGATAGTTTAGTAATTTTTGTTTTCTTTTGTAGACCATAAATCAAAATTTTCTATGAAGGTAAGCCACATGACGTTGACCTGACTTGTTTTCAAACATAAATTGCACTTTTCAGTGGTTTGAAAATCATTTTTGGGAAATGTTTTTGCTCTTTGGGGTTTGGAAGGATGAGAAAGAGTTACTACTGCCTTTTGTCAAGCTGGAATTTTCGCAGAAATGAAATCGTTTAGTAAAGTTTTCTGTAAAAATGGAAGAGTTCTAAAATCAGTTCTGTCCAGTATAGTAGCCATTTAGTCATAGGAGATTTACCACTTAAAATGTGGCAAGTGTAACAGAGGAATTGTCTAATTTTATTTTTTTGTTAAATTTGATAGCTATTGAACATGACAGTGATACTCCAGAGATGTTTAAAAATAGATATTCAGACTTTGAAACAAAAAAGTTTTTTTTTTTCATCCTCAGTTCCATCTACCCACATTTGGGTCACAAATTCTTTATCTTTTTAAGAGTTATTAAATAGTGACTTTCCTGGTTTTTTTGTTTTTGTTTTGTTTGTTTTTTGCCTTCCTTAAAAGATTACACTGAGAGACAGGCACTAGTGGCTTATGCCTGTAATCCTAGTTACTTAGGAGGCTGAGATCTAAGGTATGGTTTGGAAGCCAGCCCAGGCAGGAAAGTTCATGAAGCCAAAAGTAGAGGACTAGCCTTGACAAAAAGAAGCTCAGGGATAGCACCCAAGCCCATAGTTCAAGCTTAGGTCTGGCACCAAAAACAAAAAACATTGAGCTTGATGATTTTCCTTTAGGAATGTATTGTGTCTGTTGTCTACAAAATATATTACCACTTTATTTTCACTTTCCTGGGGATCCATTGCAGGTCCTTACATATATTAGGCAAGCCTTCTGGTATTGGTGCCATATCCTCAGCCCTTGAGATTTGGGGATAGGGCCTTGCTAAGTAGTTAGGCTGGCCTTAAACTCATAATCCTCCCATATCTGCCCAGGATTGTAGCCATGTATCACCATACATAATCATATTATTTTTAGTATAGCTACTTGCTCTTGATTTCTTTTTCCATTAACAAGAATATTTCATCTTCCTTTTCTATAATTCACAAGAATCTATTTTTTCTTCACTGTCCAGTGTCTTAATAACTTCCTTTGGATGATATATTCTCCTTTTTTCTCAGCCCTTGATAGTTTTTTTCATTTTAAGTTTAATCAAGTTAGAATAGTTAGTTGCTTGAGTATCCAGCAGATTAATCATTTGATAAGAAGGTGACTATCAAAGTAATCCAAAAGCTACATATAAAATATTTCTCTCCATATATGTAAACATTTACTTTCACTTTAATATTGTTCACTTTCTACAGTTTCAATAAGTTGTAGTTAATGATTTCTAAAAGTGGAAAATTCCAAAAATAAATAATGCATGAGTTTTACATTATTTGCTATTCTGAATCATGTGACTGAAAACGTTTTACCTGTTTCCTACTCAGAACTTGAATCTTTCCTTGATCTAGCATATCCTTGCTTGATGGTTGTTAGCTATCTCAGTTGTCAATTTACTGTTGAGGTCTCAGAGGTGCTCATATTTGAGTTTTGCTCCTATGTGGTTTCAGGCATCCACTGAGAGCCTTTCATTGTTTCCTTTATGAATAAGAGGTACTCTCCTAGATGACAAGCTGATTGTAGTGGTTGATAGCTGTCTTTTCTGGGCATGAACACTCTTTCAAGTGTTCCTTCTTTCTGTTGATATCCTAATCAGATTTGTTCTACTGACTAAATTTGTGAAGCCTTTTCATTGTCTTTTTAACCAACTCAGGATATCTGATCCCTTTCACTCTTGTGATAAAAGTTACTGGTTTTAGACATTACAGAACTCTGTCATCTGTTTAGGGATATCTAGTCTTAGGATTTTTGATCTCCTAGACCTATAGTTGTATGTAGTAGTAGTAATAATAGTAATAGTAGCAGTAAGAGTGAGTTCAGACTCCAATAGCAATATATCATTAACATAACATTTTGGTAATGTTATTTTGATTTGATAATGTTATCAAAATAACAGCTTTTTATTTTTTGGTTGGTCATGGGGCTTGAACTCTGGGGCCTGGGCGCTGTCCCTCAGCCCTTTAGCTCAAGGCCAGCACTCTACCAGTGGAGCCACAGCACCACTTCCAGTTTTCTGGTGGTGAATTGATGATAAGAGTCTCATGGACTTTCCTGCCCAGGTTGGCTTTGAACTGTGATCCTCAGATCTTACCCTCCTGAGTAGCTAGGATACAGGCATGAGCCACCAGTGCCTGGCTCAAAATAACAACTTCTAAAGCTGTAACATTCAGATAGTCTCAAAAATTAGTTGAAATAAGAAACATTCAAAAAAATTTTGGAGAGTGGAGTGTAGTCAGAATTTGCAGTGTATATCCTATGAAACTATGAAAATTGAAGGAAAGTCTGAGGTTGGAAGGGAAGAGGGAGAATGATTGATGAAAGGGAAGATATTGATCGAGATGCCTTATACCTATAAACTGGTATGATGAATGTAACCTCTTTGTACAGCTACTTAAATTAAAAAAAAAAGCCGGGCGCCGGTGGCTCTCGCCTGTAATCCTAGCTACTCAGGAGGCTGAGATCTGAGAATCGAGGTTCAAAGCCAGCCTGGGCAGGAAAGACCGTGAGACTCCTATCTCCAATAAACCACTAGAAAACCGGAAGTGGTGCTGTAGCTCAAGTGGTAGAGTGCTCGCCTTGAGCTGAAGAGCTGAGGGACAGCGCCCAGGCCCAGAGTTCAAGCCCCATGACCGACAAAAAAAAAAAAAATTAAAAAAAAAGGTGGTTTTTTTTGGCCAATTTTGATGGCTCTCTCCTGTAGTCCTAGCTGTTTGGAAGGCTGAGAGACCGGAGAATCACCTGAGCCTAGGAGTTAAAGACCAGTCTCAATCACATAGTTAGACTTGTCTCAAAAAAGAAAGAAAACCTTTTTCATGAATATTTCTACATAAGAGAATTGTGATATTCTAAAGGAAGTATATAATAGTGCAAAGTAGCACATTTTACATTTGAAATTCTTTTCTTTGATTCCTCTGCAGGAAGTTAGACAGTTTTAAATACTTTGAACAGTATAATATTAAAAATATTGGTAGAATTCAAACTCAGCAAAAGAACATTTAAAAATGTTCCATGAGGGGGTGGGAAGGTGACTCAGTGATAGAGCGCTTGCCTTGCATGCTTGAGGCCCTGGGTTCGATTCCTCAGCACCACATACGCAGGAAAAAAAATCTGGAAGTGGTGCTGTGGCTCAAGTGGTAGAGCATTAGCCTTGAGCTGAAGAGCTGAGGGACAGCGCCCAGGCCCAGAGTTCAGGCTCCACAACCCCCCCCCCCCAAAAGTTCCCTGAAATGTTTTGAAACATAAAGGCCTTATTCAATCAGTTAAAATGGGCTACGTTGCTTTTCATTGTTTAGTAACGGGAACATAATTGCTTTGTGTGTATGTATTTGTGCTGGCCCTGGGCTTGAACTCAGGGTCTAGGGTTGTCCATAAGCTTTTTGCTCAAGGCTAACATTCTATTGCCTGAGCCACTCATTGTTCCTCTTCTGCATTTTTGGTAGTTAATGGCAGTTAAGAATCTCATGGACTTTCCTGTCTGGGCAGGCTTAGAACCCTGATCCTTACATTTCAGCCTCCTGAGCAGGTAGGATTATAGGCATGAGCTATTGGTGCCAGCGGTAATTAAATCTTGGTATGATAGTTCATCAGTTTTTATAGCCTCCCTTCATTGTTCCTCTAATTTTAAGTGACCACATGCCAGATTATTGCCTTTTATTTTTTTTAATAAATATTTGTAGCACACTCTGTATGTGGCAGAAATTCTAGTGAAATTAGAACTCCAATTGGTAAACTAAAAAGTATTTACTGTCATTATGAACGTTCAGTGTGAATATGAGAATCCATTTTGTCTTTGTTATTTTTTAGAGAAAACTAAACAAAACACAAGCAGAAAGTCCTTGTTTTCTATAAATAGTTATTATTGGCCAGCTAAATAACTACACATAAGTAGAAAAAAGTAAGTACTATACCAGAGCTACTAAAAAGAACACATTGGAAAGAGCAGCTCCTTCTGGTTTGGAAACACCTAGTACATGCTACATAAATATGGTGAAATTTTAATTAGTGTTTAACAGATGAAGGATATACTTAGAGAAGTCTATAAGCTTAGAGAAAGTAGTAAGCAAAACATTGAGTTATAAAATAAGTTATAAAATAAGCTGAATGTGGAGAATAGTGTGTATGTCTGAGAAATTTAGGATATAAAGCCTGGGGGAGTTACAGTCATGAAAAGTTTCAGTGTATGCTCAAGGACTTTGAACTAATTCACTTGTAGGGAGCCATTAAAGGATATATATATATATTTATTTTTGGCCAGTCCTGGGGCTTCAGGTCTTGGCCTGGGTGCGGTCTCTCAGCTCTTCAGCTCAAGGTTAGTGCTCTACCACTTGCACTACAGCACCACTTCTGGTTTTCTTAGTGGTTTACTGGAGATAAGAGGTGCAGTGATTGGAGACTAACTAAGGTGGTAGAGTCCAGATGCTTAAGCCATATGCACTCTATTCAAAATGGTGAAAAGGGGCTGGGAAGGTGGCCCAGTGGTAGAGCGCTTGCCTTGCATGCATGAGGCCCTGGGTTCCATTCCTCAGCACCACATAAGCAAAAAGAAAAAAGCCGGAAGTGGCGCTGTGGTTCAAGTGGTAGAAGTACTAGCCTTGAGCTGAAGAGCTGAGGGACAGCGCCCAGGCCCAGAGTTCAGGCCCCACGACCGGACCCCCAAAAAAGAAAATTAAAAAACAAACAAAAAACAGTGAAAAGCCCTGGGTCCAGGGTCCCAATCAAACTAGGCATGGCCACTTGTCCCTATATGCCAAATAAAGAGATATGGCTAAAATGGCAGGCGGGGGGAGGGGGGGACTAGACGCATAGCTCATTTGGTAGAGTGCTGAGCATTAGCCAATGAGCAGAAATATATTAGTCCTGGTCTTGGACAAATAAAGACACATGATGGAG